TCTCATCAATACCGTTTTAGCAAGCGTTAATATAAACAAAGTACGACCTGGTGTGACAATGCAGGCTATCTTGGATATTCTGAAGATACCTCTGTTTTCGTACAAATTAATTTAACGTCTTCAAGTTTGACCTGCTATCCACTAATAAGTGTTGACATTACAATTTTTGAGTATATGTTTTAGTGCGGAATGCAAGTGCTGATCCGGTTATTGTTTACAGTCTGAAGATAATTGAAAATTTTAATCCGTGGAAGGGTATAAGTATGTCGTGAATGTTGTCGCTTAAGGAAAACAATTGTTAGGGAATTACAGGAACTACATGAGATGTTGCCTCATACTCAGATAGTATCGGCAAACATATTGCCCAGAATTTTCTTGAGGGGGGAAATCAGTCATAAGGGATTGGAATTGGTGCGTAGGAGGGTTAATAGGGAGGTCAAGGCGTCGAAGGAGAGCTTCCAGGGTATTGTCGAAGAATACCCTGAGCTTTTGGATTGGTATCCTGTATTGTTTTCCGATGGTACCCATCTGAGTAAGTTCGGGAACGATTTTTTTCTTTTCATATTGCAGAGTGCTCTACACTTATTTTTGAGGCCTGACCTACAGCTTCTTTGGCACTAGTAGTGTATTGTTAATTATTGTAACTGACATACATAGTATTTTCATTGTATGTGTTTCATTTGGTTACAGTCGAAATGTCAACTTGCATATGGGTCGCAAACTTTTGCGACATGTTTGGTCACTGATGAATTGACAACTTGTTGAGTATTTGGGTCGCAGACTTGAGCGACGTGTTTGGTCACTGATGAAGTGAGCATATGTGTTTTAATGGACATAGGACCCATAGAAATGATGATGATTTTTATATATGTGATGTTGGATGCTTGATTGTAGTTGCCACCTACAAACCTCTGGAAAGGTCGGTCACAATTCTGGCCAATCAAGTTGGTAATTTTTGGTGTGTATGGGTCCTGGATTAATAATTGATTTGAGTATTGGCATGTTATTGTCGACATTTTGGTGCAATACAACATTTTAGGTTCTGAGTGAATTAACAGCGGTATGCTATTTTCGAATGACGAAACATGTTCTCTTTCATTTCCCCCACCTATTTTTAGGTTGGTGGCGGAGCTAGATTGTTATCTAGCTTTTGGATTAAAATTTCAAATCACCTGTTTCTTTCGCACAGTTCAATGATAAAATGATGCATATCAATGTTATAGTTAGCTGGAAAGTTAATTTGGGTGATTCTTTGTTCCCACTGGTCACTCCAAATTATTCTTATACATATATATATATATATATACCACGACAATAACTTGCCAAGACATTAGTATCAAAAATAAAATTAATTGAAATTGTTGTGTTGTGGTTAATTTGTGACTATTTGATAATTGGATCTCGATCTGTCACGATTAAAGAACAATATCTCATACATTTAATGACTGTCTTGCTTACTGTGTTACAATCGCCAGTACCAAGCCATGGGTATTTCATGCGGTACAGGATACACGTCTTCATCTTTTGAGCATTTGGTGTTTGGTATTGCTCCTGGATTTTTTAGGGATTCGTGTTGTCTTCATCAGTGTGAACAGGTGTCTATTGAGATGTTGTCTTTACAAGTAGATCTATATTATGTTTTGGAATAAAGATTACCAGATTAACATATGGGATATGTATCTTTTCTTTGCTTACGTTCTTACGTTTTCCGTTTAGAGTTATCATCCATGGATTTCCTCTTGTTACGACCTCAGCCGTTTCCAGGACGATACAAAATGAACGATGGAGATACTACCACAGCTTATCGGACAATAGCCTCAAAACTAAAAACAAACGAGGCATGACGGTCACCTCTCTTCGTAACAGTTCTTATATACTGGTAATGATAGCAGTTGTCTGATACTCTACACATAACCGTATATATACAAACATATATTAGGGTTTTCTTCTGTTGTTATTTTTCAGGAGAATAAACAAGAACATATGTCAATAAAGAAAAGCACTCCTTTTATGGCTAATAGTGTAGCTTATCAAGTGTTTAAACAGATGACAGAACAATAAAGGTCGCTTCATCGCCATCATGTTACTGTTGCGAAGGAACATTCATGAACGTTACTTTGCCACGAAGGGATGCTGTCCAACCACCCCTATACAAAAATGCAAAAGAATGAAGTGAAGAAAATATGTGGAACACGTACCTTCAGCTTTACGCTTTTATAAAAAGACACCGTGTAAGCGTTAAACATTTCTTTCGTAATATGGAAATATCGTGTCCTAAGAAGTTGTGATCCCTGTCACTCTCGTAAAATACAAACTTCTTCCAACTGATTTTTTTGGCTCGGGGAATTTCTTTTAACTCAGTCGGCGTCAGAAAAATACAACAGACGTCCCAGATGAGGTCCTTAACGGAGATATTGAAATACCAATAACCACGGTCACATACCTGCCGCATCAAGCCACGAAAAAGACTGTAACGACTGTGGTTACCGATTACATAATTTCTTATCTGTGTCGTAATATGATGTTACCTGATCGCTTACCTGTAGTCACGTACATGCGTGTGTACACACTCTGGCATACCCTATACGCTACGTTCCATATACAATTCTTTTTGAAATGACCCCTGTATTTGCTTCTCTAATTTCACGCTCCGTGCTAGGTTTACCTCAAAATAAGAAAGGTCTGATAGAACTACATAGAACTACACTGTACTCTCCAACCATACTATTTGTATCAATAATAAACTATATCATAAATATGAACACGTTCAAAATTAATTTAAAAGTAATAATTTGCTCCCTTCAGTACTGGTAATTAAAGTATATAATTTCACACCTACCAAGTAGACCTGCTGCCAACGTTTATGTGTCTATGAAAACATTGACTAAGAACAAATCTACATGTAATGTTTCTTAACATTTTCGTCAGATTGGTAAGTATGATTTATGAACGGATTCTTGTAACACAACCAATAAGTGTTTCTATGTGACGTTTCAATGACTAGTACGGTATGTACTCTGTCACCTTCATCTGACGAATGACCAGTGGCCTAGATTTGATTTCAGGTGTAAAATGTGCCCGAGTTGTTTCATAATATATACATGCAATGTCCATTTGAATAAGAAACGTCTTAACTCCGTTCCCTTGGATATCGTTATTGTTATTATGGACATGTCATGAATTGATGTAATTATCTTGTAAGTTTCATTGACTTAACATTAATTCAAGTGTCTTCAAGAGTAACTTCCAATGCAGTGACACATGATACCTTCATTTGTACAATTTTGTTTTATAAAGGTTATATAAAACTGATTTGCCGTGTGTGACGTGATAACTTTGTATGTGGAGTAATTTATACGTCATGAAATGTTTTACTCTCTGGATATGGTATTGACGTTATTTGTAAGGTTTGCGGTATATATACCTAGATTTGATTTCATTATGCAAGCAATCAAGTCATAGAGCAAATGATATCGACTTAAATTTACACAAATGACATGATTCGACATGTGTGACGTGATAACCTGGTCTGTAGAATTATTTATATGTCAAAGCTACATTTGACATCATATCGTAAGACACAGCAGTCATGTACAGGAGCAATGCAACACTAAGTCAGTTCAACATCTTATATCGACTACAATATTCACAAATAACATGTCATGTACATTTCGTTAACCGATGGCAGTTCTTTTTCTTTTATATCAAATGACATCTCAATACATAGTAATTATTATGTCTACGGCGTTTCTATTCATGTATATACAACATGTAAAAATAGAAAATTCCTCTACTTCAGCCAGGCGTAAACAAATTAAATGGATAAACAATAAAACAGCAAAATCAACATACCTTGGTCGTTATTTACACCAACAACCGCCACTAATACTATCTAAAAGTGCACACACATTGGATTATGTAATATTTCACAAATTGATTTGAATGTGAACAAAATGATTAAGTAAAACCTTTAAAACTTATCCGCATGGTGTATTATGTAATATTATTTCATAAAGGAATTGAACTATTATAAATATTTTTTTTTATAAATGAAAAACGGTTCATATGTACCATGCACCATAATACAAGATTATACTTGATTAATTGAATTAAAAAAATGAAACTATTGTTTTCCTGTCATCCTTAATTATGATTATTTATATATTCACAGTTTCAAACTATAATTGCACTGTGATCTGTAAAAATGTACAATATAACTGTAAACATTATAGTATGATGGGAAACAAACCAGTTTCTGCTAAATTTGAGCATAGGGCTCTATAACGATTTCCTGCTGGTGACATATTGATGTAAAATAGAAGGTTCTGATATTGCAGTAAACCAGACAGAATCTATATAGTTGACATGTTTACATCGTAATATATGACATATATTGAGTCATTTTACGGCGTCGACGTTACGTATTTATATGTCGTGGTGCGGAAAACTCTCTCATACCACAAACTTTCATCAAATCAAAAATCAGGACATTAACCAAACGGAAGGTGAAAGAGAATAAACGTGTTTAGTCTATAGATTGTTTGTATGTACATGTTCTACAATAATAGAACTATAGGGTACTCTTCACCATATTTTCTACATGAACGATTTTAGTAAATGTATCAATACAAATCTGATATATAATATTGTTGTAATATTATATCAGGTGATTTGAACCATTTTAACCTGTTTAGTTTGAAACTTGTTTAGGTCGACAAGGAGAAAAGGTGGTTCCAACTTAAAATTCAACGTTTATAGTCCAGACAGGCCTATTTCCTAAAGATGGTTTATTATTGAAATATGTTTAGCTGTAAGGTAACCACGGCTTATTTTTAAAATAGGCCTATTTTCCAATCAGGCTCATTGTCGAGATGTAAATATATTTGATATCAATTTGTTTAAAATATTAAATTTGTTATTTTAACTTTCATCCTTATTTTTTTAAAGGAGAACTTTGATATAGACAAATCTCAAAATCATAGTCACACCGTTATCTGTTATGCAAAATGATTTTTTTTATCATATTAAAATTAATACAAACAGGATCATATTAAACTTGAGCATACGACACTATAGCATTTTCTTATGTACCGGTGACATTTTTACAGTGTAGATGAAATATTCGGGTAACATTGCGGCGTCAGCGGATATGAGCTTTACAATTGATATAACCACTGTAAGATAATGTTATTTAATGTCCAAACAGACTTATTTGTTCATAGTGCCATCACATGCACAGTGCCATTCTCACAGCCGATCCAAACATGTCCACACCTGTCTATACACACAGCCGTTGGAAGTTTTACTCCATGTTTCTTGTCAAGGAGACACTTGACCTTTCTTTCATTCATTGACAGGACGTATACCTGGCCAGTGTTCATGTCTGGTACAAACACTCTGTCATATCTATCACTTGCTATATTACATTGCACCGTCTCTTCTAACTTCTGACCATTGTCCAGTTCCCCAATCCACTTATGTATAACCTGATCAGATTTGTTGATGACAATCATTTCTTTACAATAATAAATATTCGCGCCATTGGTGACCGCTATTTTTCCTGTTGTCAAACATACGATACTCAGCCCATCACCTCCACACGAGATTTGTCTGATCCTCTCCCCGGACATGTTCAGTACCTGTATTGTTGTAGTGTGAGTAGTAACGAGCACCTCGTCACTGTCACTGACACTGATACCACAAGCTTTAAGCGGACTGATGTCAGTAAATCTGGTCACTTGTATGTCCTTTGATATTTTGTGTATCACTGATGAACCACACGTGGTCAGTAGTTCTTTCGTGTCAGTCACTTTCAGAAACCACGGGCTGAAGTCGAGGCTGACGGACTCTGTGACCTTGCCGTTCTTGTTAACTTTGATCACTTCTGTAGATCCACGTACTGACATCCATGCGTGATTATCGTCAATAGGACATATCGAGTTGATTTGTGTTTGCTTTCGTTCTCGGAATGTAGAAATCTGACTAACCTTTTTTCTGTCAACCTCTTTCTTCTTATATCTGATGTCTTCAGTCTTCAATTTGTCGACCTGAAGATATCCAATCATTGACTTCAACTGATCTGCGTTAAATGTTCCAGACACGAAGTGAGGTGGGTAAGGTAACACGCTCTTTGTAGCAACATAATAGAGCGGTATGGTGGTTCTCAGTCTCCCCGTCAGCTCAAACAATGATGTACTAGACATTGTGTCTGTGTTCTGCTCTACATCTCTGATCAGCTGCTTTATCTCTTTGATATAATTTTCGTTGGGTTGACATTCCTGTTTGAGAAGTATTTCTTCTTCTTCAACCAAGGACGATAACTCGATCAAGAATGTATCAGCTATGGAATCAACCTGTGCTTTCAGTTTCTGTCTCTGAGTAAGTACTTGGTGTCGGATGACAGCCACGTTCTCTATGAATGACTTGCTCACTTCATGACGCTTTGATAGATTATCATCAAAATGGTCTAACTTGGACTTGAGTATTTTTAATTGATCTTGCATGTAATGTTTTTGCGAGTCAATTTCCTCCTTAATATTTTTGAAAGTGTGTTGTTTATGTTTCTCAGTAAAACACATCGTACACATCACAATGTCACAGTCACTACAGTACAAGTCACAAGTCTTACCTCGATGTATCTTACATACCTCTGGTAGTACTACTTGATCTTGTTTGTTAGCCTCTCTTATTGGCACGACGTCATCATTCCGTGTCTTCTTCCCACGTTGGTGGCCGTCCTTACATTTGTCACACAAAGCCTCCTGGCAGTCATTACAAAACCAGTTAACTTCCTGTATGCTTTCACACCAAGCACAGGTTTCTGGCACGTGAACCTGGCCGCGGCGGATGGATAATTCACTTGCCATTTGCTTTAACTACTTCCTTCTTACATAACAAATTTACTCTTACTGACAATGCTTGGAGGACTAGTCGGTTGTATAGCTAGCATTACGTGACAACTGATAAGAATGGTATTTACGTAATTTATCTAAAGTCAACAAAGTTTTGACGGAATCATAACAAGTGATCAATGTAATTGTGTAATGCAGGTTTTCATGACATTTCACTTTTTCATGTAATTACGCCACTATTATCAGTAATGTTCATACTTGGAACTAAGAATTAACACATAGTAATATACTACTTTGTGTATCATGCAGAAACAGCGAAACTTAAAACAATTAGCTGGCAACATATACTGAAGATAATACGCGGAATCTTTTGTTTTATGATATTATGATGAAATACAAACAAGCTCATGTTAAACGTAAGCATACGACATTTTAACAAATGTTAAAAATGTAATGTTATATTTTGTTCCATCACCATTTACACAACCGACACAAATATGTCCACACCTGTCAACACACACTGTACAAACACCTTTTACTCCATGCTTCTCGTCGAGAAGACACTTAGTCATTTCCTGAGATGACGTATACTTGTTCTGATTTTTTGTCTGATACAAACACTCTGCATATCTATCACGTGCTATATAACATTGCCCCGTCTGTTTTATTTCCTGACCATTGTCCAGTTCCCCTCTCCATCTGCGTGTGACTTGAACTAGTTTTGTGATGACAAATTCTGTTTTTACAAGAATTGATATGTTTGCCAATGGTAACACCTAATTGTCCTGTTGTCAAACATACGATACTCAGCCCATCACCCCACACGAGATTTGTCTGATCCTCCCCCGGCTATGTTCAGTACCTGTACTGTTGTAATGTGAGTAATAACGAACACCTCATCACTGTCACTGACAATGATACCCCAGGCTTCTAACGGACTAATGCCAGTGAATCATCAGAAATGGAACGATGACTGGTCAGCAATACAGAGATAAGATCCTGCATTCTATTATTTGTCTATATGCTATATGATAATGCACGTCCACATCGTGCAAGGGAAGTGCAGCAATATCTTAAAACTGAAACAATTGACCGTATGCATTGTATTGTATATTTCTGGCTACTTTGTACATAAAAAGTGTGCTTGCTCTAGATATACATCTTGCCTATTGTTGCTTTGGTACACTGACAACTGTGAATGTTTACGTTATAGGACTACTCATTTAAACCTCTACCAAGGGCGCAAATATCACTATGACGGTAACGTGTTTTTGAAGATGATATGAATGTGCACATTAAACATCGTTCTTATTAAGTGGTATTTAAATAGAGACATGTATGTAATTTATGACAGGACCAACGCAGAGACTCATGAAACTAAACAGACGTTACCACGTCCACGTGATTGGCATGTTATGAAGTGTATGAAGCACTGTTGATTCACTACTTTGGAGCCTATCTATATAAACTTTATTGATTCTTCCANTTTATTTGTCAACTTTTGTCTTTCGGCGCCCAAAATACAATCCATCATATGTTAGTTCCAACCCTAAAATCTAAAGAGCTTTCCTTGTCATCCATATTCGTGTTCAAACCGCCAAGATTCCAAGCATTATACATCAGCAAAGAATGTCACCATCTCACTGCCTGCCTTGTTAAGTAATTTTGAATCAATCCACTCAGGCCCTGCACTCGATTGTACACAAATTCTTTATCGTAATTGATCGTTCATACACCGGTCACCTTGAGCCAGTTCCTGGGATCATGGCAAGAAAACGCTTTAAAATCTCCTAAAAAATGATATAGTTTAAATGACTTCCCATGATGGTAGTTGACCGGGTGTTAAATTGCTCGAGGCCGTAATAAGCCCCGACTAATTGTTTTATGTTATTACCATTTGTATTAGTTAAGGTCTGTTAATAAAGCAGAATTAATTAGTGGCAAAGGTCAATGTTTAAGAAATCCATGCGATTATCCAACATCAAAAATTTACAACACAAGCCAATCGTTTGGTACGATCAAATATTATTCGTTTTCAACAAACCATTTAATGGGTTGAATCAATAAGGAGAATACTTCGTTTGTCCTGGTGATTTAACGTTTAACATTGAAACATAGAGTGCATTAGGTTGTCATTATATATCGTCTTCTGGTGTTGTTAGTCGTCATAGAACCATTAATTGTCCTACATAATACCACACAACACATCTGTCGTCATGGCACCTGACAACTGCTATGTGGTATATTGTTCCGTTTTGATCCTTACAGCCTTCTTAGTTAACAAATCCCTATTTACACTTTGCTTCGTCTGTTCTTCCTAGACATGGTGATCAATTTCTTTGTTTGCAGTCAGGTAACAGCTGATAAGAATGATCAACATGGATATATTCTGATTCGCGGATATTTTATAAATATGGCAGACAGAAGAAGTTTTCTCAGTGACAAAAGCATGTGGTGATATTTTAACGACTGTTCTTGACAGATTTATGACAAGAAAAAACTGAGACATTTTTACCAATGTTAAAGCACTCCTTTAACAGATGTTCAAGTCACCATGCTAGTGATAAGGGCTAATATTCTTGTTTTGTTGTGAACGACAGATACATTTGGCATGCATTCTTATTAAACAACGCAGCAATCTTGATTTTTTTTATCGATTTAATGTAATGTACGTTAGATATTTTCAAAAACAAGGCAACAAACCAACAAAACCATATAAGTTATGCTATTATCAATAAAAAAATGATTTTATCAAGGTCAGAGTTCCATGATCGAAGGCTTCTGAATTCTTATTGGTTGTTTGTTTAACTTCTTCCTTTTTAACAAATGAAAATTATCTTCCAAACCTATCGATAACGATTATTAAGCTTTATTTTGTTAGACTATATATTTATGCTTAGATCAGATGACAAATTGTTTTCTCATGTATTTTACTTGCCATACCATGACAGAATATGATCGCTACGCCATTTAAGGAGGCTCCACACTTCGGCAATTAACCGGCACGATTCCTTGAAACTTTCGTATATAATGATTAGGCAAATATGAAGAGTTGAATTCATGAAAATCTAAGCATTCCGATAGTTTGGGGTCTTTTTTGGAAAAATACCAAAAAATTGAGTTTTCGTCAATTTTATTAGTTTCCGTTTTTTCGATGTATGGCAATGTTCGGAACAATAACAACAATACAAAAAGAAAATAAGCATTGCTTATTAACTCTACAAATATTTTATCTATCGCAAAATATATAAAACGCGTTATACAAAGTTTTTTGATCATTGAAATTGTATGGATAAAAGTGATTAACTACAAGCTAGAAGCATAAAGGTCACAAAGATTCATTCATGAATTGTGGCATATTGAACAAAATATACACAATGGCTTTATAATTAATTCATTTTGCATTTTTAATCACTTTGCTCCTGGTAAGAGTTGTCTTCCTTGGGTTAGGAATACAATTTACACAATGACAGTTATCTCTTTGTACATATATACACTGGTAGTCCGGGTAATAGGTTGTTTATTATTTTTAGTAAGATGACCTTTTAGTTGGTAGTCGATTATTTACATATGTTTTCTCCAGTGTATATGTATATATTGTATCAATGTTGAGTGTTAAGAGTCGTGATTTGCTAGTATTTTGTCTTTCGAATAATTTAGAAAATGTATAGGTTGAATTGCGTTGTTGATCTAGCAGGCCTAGGTCTGCATTGCAATGCACTAGTGTTTGCAGAAATTTTTTGGAATGATGGACTTGACAGATTTGACTCGTTCTGAAAGTGATTCCAAATCAGCATGCTCTCGTGTTGCCTGTTGTATGGCGTAATTGTCAACATATTTAAGACGTATCTTGAAATGCACATTCCAATTCATAGAAGGAGTAACCCGATACTGAGGATCCTTCACGAAGAACTGTCGTATCTTTACGTTATGTATACAATCAATAGTTCCTGTGTCTACATATCCAGCAGAACCACATCACTATAGGAACGTGAAGGAAAATCATGTTAAAGGAGAAGTCGATGTAAGGTCAATAAAATCCAACTGCTGTAGCGTCTGTTTTTGGAGCGTTTCGAATAAATGAGTAAATAAGGTATTACCAGTTACCAGTGATTTCATGTCCAGCCAGACCATAGTAGCATTTGGACGTGGAGCAAAACACAAATCCTGAAGGAGGACTCATTCTTAGATCATCTAAATTCAGCTGCTTTAGCGTGTACTTGTATCTGAAATGTTTGAATTAATGGGTTTAGAATAACTGTAGGAAATTGATAGGGTACTTTTGTATCTGAAGTACCGTTGTATGTTAATGCGGACGGACATTTGATATAGGATGTTACTTATGTTAATGACATAAATCCATTGGTTGGTGAATTCCACTTTCATGAAATCCCACTTTCCGAGTGAGTTGTGCCGGCATGTTAAAACCATCTACAAAATATGATAAGAAACAATGGGACAGTTCCAGAAAGTAAAACCAGAGTCTTTATTCATGATACCATTTTCATGCTCAAACCTAGATTCTGTGTTTTCATGTAACACAAATGAAAAAAAGCAAAAAACTGCAATGACAAACAGATCAAATAAAAATGATAAGTCCATGTTTTAGTACTTCCCTCGTAAAAAGGTGTACAGGTAACATGTCTATATCTGTGTTGATGACATACAGTCGGCCTATTGAAGTATGAAAAAAATGTCATGTCATGTAAAATATCACAAAAAGAGTTTATCAAGACTATTCGCTAGCAGACATTAATATAAGCGAGATACTATTGTGTAAAGCTACACGAAGAAATTATCAAAACGTCAACTATAACCTTCTTTCCAGCAAATATCGATATCTGTCATCATTTGAGACATGTTTTGCACAACTTCAATTACAACTTAATAGATGCTCTTGAATCAGGCCAAAAACATAAATGTCATACGTGGTAAAAGCCTGGTGTATTGGTATTTGGTTTTATTTTTTATTTAGAGATGTAATCTGTCTCGTTTCTTCAAAGTTGTCTACTGTTGTCTTTTTCCTACA